GCTTAACTTCACAAAACAAAATCACAAAAAAAAAACAGACGTACATCAGACAGATATATATTTGAGAGAGAAAAAATAGCGATATTGGTTCAACAACTTTAACTTGAAGATATCGTTCGTTTTGACACATGTTTATAAGATCATGGGGTCAGTTTGCTAGCTAACCCTGGCATTTCTTAATGCATAGACATATAAGTTCTTATTTCTCTATTATTTAGTTATTTACTTGTCGGTGAGCCTAACGAATTATAACAGTTCTGTGTTCGATTCTTGAGGCGGACGTAGATCACAAGCCCATTGTGCAGCTGTGCTCTAAAACAAAACGTTTTTTATTGTTATTCGCTAGATATACATACCTGTATAAATTTATAAGGTGGAACAGTATAAATTTCGTGACACTAAGTTAAATAAATCATTATATATCACCCTTGAAAAAGGTTATTGCAGCTCTTTGTGATTTAAAATATACCGAACCATAGCAGTCCTCTGGTGGCTCAGCAGTAATCTTGTTGGCTTACAGCGCTAAAATGCGGAGTTCGACTCCCGCGATTGGTGCAATACAGTTTGTCTATTGTGTAACTTATTGTTTGATAACCGACAGACAATAATCATGGTTGTGTATCCTGTATAAGAGTTGTGAATATTACTATTAATCATAATTATATATTTTAGTTTTTGTGTACCTTTTATTAACATAATAGATATATTATTGTACTCGAGGTGTTATAAAACACTTAAATTATAATCAAACAAGAACAACTACTTTCTATGGAAGTATTTAGTCGTGAGAACTTAGTGGTAGATTGAAAAATAGAATTACCTGAGTACTGGGCCCAGTAGCACGATGTGAAAGAAGATACGAATCGTCCAGTCTAGTTTCGACGTGTGAGGCTTAGGTAATGCCCCCGATTGCATTTTTGTCTCATGTGCATCGTGCATGTACCAGCGAATGCTGAAAATGTTGACCGTTAGTGCCGGAATAGCTGTACTAGCCACTGTGAGTCCAAACCACCAGAGGTTGTCTTCCAAGAAAAGTAAGTAACTTACAGCCACATCAGTGCCAATGTTTATAATGTAGGACACGATACACACGAAGGTGGCTAAAGCACTAAATAGCGTGAAGTGGTCTTGTTCGTCCCAAGACTTGGCGAACACGATTTCTCCGGGGTGAAGAGAGAACGTATGATCAGGACTTTGATGATCCAGCATGATAGTTTCAATATGACAACCATCGGGATCATTGGTCGTTTCGGGATCTCTTCTATCGCTCTGGGCGAGATCGTGGTGCCTGACGTTATGTAGGTCAACCAGTTGATCACTCTCGCTGATGACGACCTTTGGACGTCTTTCCACTAGAGGAGAGATAGGACAGGTTAAGTTATTTTAATCAAGCGCTCAAAATATTGAAAGAACAACATACAGGTAACTGGTGATGTAAAGATTTATACCTATAATAATTTGTGTGTAGTTGTAGTGTATTATACACCAACCTCAACATGTGACAAGGGCTATAGTTTAATGACGTCGCTATAATTTGTTTCAGAAATTAAGAAGAAAATACATACCAGAATATTTATCATGTACGTATATAGTTACAAATGGGGATAATATTATCTTCACAATGCCTTTGATAGCGAAAGTATTATAACCATTGTTATATACAACATGATATATTGTTTAATGGTATAATTGTTTTATTTTGATATACAGCGTGATATATGGTTTAATAGAATATTTATTATATACAATGTTATACATTATTTAATGGAACAATTGTTTATTATATACAATGTTATATATTGTTTAATGGAACAACTGTTTATTATATACAATGTGATATATTGTTTAATGGAACAATTGTTTATTATATGCAGTTTGATATATTGTTTAATGGAACAATTGTTTATTATATGCAGTGTGATATATTGTTTAATGGAACAATTGTTTATTATATACAATGTTATATATTGTTTAATGGAACAATTGTTTATTATATACAATGTGATATATTGTTTAATGGAACAATTGTTTATTATATGCAGTTTGATATATTGTTTAATGGAACAATTGTTTATTATATACAATGTTATACATTATTTAATGGAACAATTGTTTATTATATACAATGTTATATATTGTTTAATGGAACAATTGTTTATTATATACAATGTGATATATTGTTTAATGGAACAATTGTTTATTATATACAATGTTATATATTGTTTAATGGAAAAATTGTTTATTATATACAATGTGATATATTGTTTAATGGAACAATTGTTTATTATATACAATGTAATATATTGTTTAATGGAATTATTCTCTAATTATTATATACAGTGTGATACATTGTTTAATGGAATTATTCACTATTATATACAACGTGATATTTGGTGTAAAGGAATAAATATTACATGAGTTGTTTACGTATATGTGGCACAGATGAATGAAATTATTACTATAATTGTTCTGCACATGTATGTGGTTTGAGGAAATTAGCATACATATATAAAGTAATATATGGTTTAATACAATGCTCATTCTTGGGCAGGATATGCTTTATTTATAATTTATTGAATCGTTTTGTTCACAAGTTACTGTCCCTGGCTTTAGTTCTAGGGTATGAATTGTACATATTAGAGTGTATATATATATATATATATATATAAAGGTGCTCTTGTAAAGAGTGCGTGCCTTTCAATGACAGATATTTTTTTGTTGGTAAATAGATCGCTGTAAGGCATCCGTGGTATAAAAATAAATGAATAAAACAACAACAACACACAAAGTAGTTTATATTTATGTTTGAATCAAGATATTATATTTCTTAGTGTAATCATTGTGGGGATTTCTCCACTCCGATATATCGAAACGATGACATTTCAAGATATTATATTTCTTAGTGTAATCATTGTGGGGATTTCTTCCACTCCGATAATATCGAAACGATGACATTTCAGATATTATATTTCTTAGTGTAATCAATTGTGGGGATTTCTTCCACTCCGATAATATTCGAAACGATTGAACACTT